AGTGCAAATATGCCACACTATCATAAGTGCTGAAATGTGCGACACTATCATAAGTGCTGAAAGGGTGCGACAGCACTATATCCGTAAATGCTTAAATATGCCACACTATCATAAAGTGCTGAAAATGTTGCGACACTATCATCAGTGCTGAAATATGCCTCAATATCATAAGTGCTGAAAGGTGCGACATTATAATAAGTGCTTAAAAATGCCTCACTATATAAGTGCTGACATATGCCTCACTATCATAAGTGCTGAAATATGCCTCACTATATAAATGCTGAAATGTGCCTCACTATATAAGTGCTGAAATATGCCACACTATCATAAGTGCTGAAATATGCCTCACTATATAAGTGCTGAAATAGGCCTCACTATCATAAGTGATGAAATATGCCACACTATCATAAGTGCTGAAATGTGCTTCACTATATAATGCGAAACATGCCCCAAAAAATATAAGTGCTGAAATGGTAAAAATATCATAAGTGCTGAAAAATGCCCCCAAAATCATAATGCGAAAAGTGCCCACATATAATGGAAATATCCAAAATATCATAAGTGCTGAAATGTGCAACACTATCATAAGTGCTGAAATATGCCACACTATCATAAGTGCTGAAATGTGCCTCACTATATAAGTGCTGAAATATGCCAAAATATCATAAGTGCTGAAATGCTCGCGACACTATCATAAGTGCTTCAAATATGCCATACTACCATAAGTGCTGAAATATGCGACACTATCATAAGTGCTGAAGTATGCCACTTTATCATAAGTGCTGAAATGTGCGACACTATCATCAGTGCTGAAATGTGCGACACTATCAGAAGTGCTGAAATATGCCACACTATCATAAGTTTTGAAATTTGCAACACTATCATAAGTGCTGAAAGGTGCGACACTGTCATACGTGCCGAAATGTGCGACACTATCATAAGTGATGAAATGCGCGACACTATCATCAGTGCTGAAATGTGCCTCACTATCATAATTGCTACAATATGTAAGCACTATCATAAGTGTTCTGAAAGATGCCACACTAATATCAAGTGCTAAAAATGTGGCGACACTATCATAAGTGCTTCAATATGCCATAACTACCATAAGTGCTGAAATATGCGACACTATCATAAGTGCTTGAAGTATGCCACTTTATTCATAAGTCATGAAATGTGCGACACTATCATAAGTGCTGAAAGGTGCGACACTATCAGAAGTGCTGAAATATGCCACACTATCATAAGTTTTGAAAAATTTTGCAACACTATCATAAGTGCTGAAAGGTGCGACACTAGTCATACGTGCCGAAATGTGCGACACTATCATAAGTGATGAAATGCGCGACACTATCAAATCAGTGCTGAAATGTGCCTCACTATCATAATTGCTACAATATGCAACACTATCATAAGTGCTGAAAGATGCCACACTATCATAAGTGCTGCAATATGCCACACTATCATAAGTGCTGAAATATGCATCACTTTCATAAGTGCTGAAATTTTGCAACACTATCATAAGTGCTGAAAATATGCGACATTATCATAAGTGCTTGAAATATGCGACACAATTCATAAGTGCTGCAAATGTGCCTTACTATCATAAGTGCTGAAATTGTGTGTCACTATCATAAGTGCTGAAATGTGTGTTCACTAACCCATAAGGTGCTGAAATGTGCGACACTATCAATTAAGTGCTGAAATATCGCCTCATCTATCATAAGTGCTGACATGTGCCACACTATCATAAGTGCTGAAATGTGCCTCACTATCATAAGTGCTGAAATATGCCACACTATCATAAGTGCTGAAATGTGCGACACTATCATAAGTGCTGAAATGTGTGTCACTAACATATGTGTTGAAATATGCCACACTATATAAGTGCTGAAATGTGCGACACTATCATAAGTGCTGCAATATGACATACTACCATAAGTGCTGAAATGTGCGACACTATCATAAGTGCTGAAATGTGCCACACTATCATAAGTGCTGAAATGTGCGACACTATCATAAGTGCTGAAAGGTGCGACACTATCGTAAGTGCTTAAATATGCCACACTATCATCAGTGCTGAAATGTGCGACACTATCATAAGTGCTGAAATGTGCAACACTATCATAAGTGCTGAAATGTGCGACACTATTATAAGTGTTGAAATGTGCGACACTATCATAAGTGCTGAAATGTGCTACACTATATAAGTGCTGAAATATGCATCACTATCATAAGTGCTGAAATATGCCACACTATCATAAGTGCTGAAATGTGCACACTATCATAAGTGCTGAAATGTGTGTCACTATCATAAGTGCTGAAATGTGCATCACTATCATAAGTGCTGAAATGTGCGTCACTATCATAAGTGCTGAAATGTGCGTCACTATCATAAGTGCTGAAATGTGCGTCACTATCATAAGTGCTGAAATATGCGTCACTATCATAAGTGCTGAAATGTGCGTCACTATCATAAGTGCTGAAATGTGCGTCACTATCATAAGTGCTGAAATGTGCGACACTATCATAAGTGCTGAAATATGCATCACTATCATAAGTGCTGCAATGTGCATCACTATCATAAGTGCTGCAATGTGCATCACTTTCATAAGTGCTGCAATGTGCATCACTTTCATAAGTGCTGCAATGCGCATCACTATCATGGGTGCTGAAAGGTGCGTCACTAACATAAGTGCTGAAATGTGCATCACTATCATAAGTGCTGCAATTTGCATCACTATCATGGGTGCTGAAAGGGGCGTCACTAACATAAGTGCTGAAATGTGCATCACTATCATAAGTGCTGCAATGTGCAACACTTTCATAAGTGCTGAAATGTGTGTCACTATCATAAGTGCTGAAATGTGCGACACTAACATAAATGCTGCAATGTGTGCCACTATCATAAGTGCTGAAAGGTGCGTCACTAACATAAGTGCTGAAATGTGCATCACTATCATAAGTGCTGAATTTGAACACCTATATTTATGATGTTAACATGATTTTAGTATAATTATATAGATATAAAATTTAAATAGTGAACTTACTCGCAGCTGACTTTGTTGTTATGTGTAGGATAGGTCATTGATACATTTTGAAAACACATGACAAAATTGTCCGTCTTCAGATTATCCATGACGCACTTGTTAGTTGAGAAATCTAAACAAAAAAGTGAAATGCTTGTAAATGTCATCAACAGAAATGTCAATGTAATGATAAAGGTAATATTATAATTTTAATGATCAAGACAATGTGAGTAAAAAGTCATTGAGACTTCGTTATCATTAACTTAACATCATTTTTTCAAGATTTTCGATAGTGTTGTAAATTTCAAATTAACTTGATTTGAAAATTATTTGAACATTAAATTATGTATAAATTTAAAAGCGCTACCTGTAGGTAACATTGGACATTCTTGTAAGGCAAACATCTTCGTCTGGTCGTATGTTGGCCATGTTGATTCAGATGACAGCTGCTCTCCTGCCTTCTCCAACATGCCCCTAACTTCAGCCTCGTAAATAGAACATTGTTCATCTGCGTTCTTCAAACATTCGAAAATATTCTTCAGGGGTCTGTAAATAATCATAAAAATAAATATTTTATTTCACGTAAGAGACAAGAAAATTAACGTGATTTTCGTAAATAAGGTAAATTATAAAAATGTTTTTTTTTTCTTGGTGGTTTAGTTTAATATGTGATTGTTTCACCTATGTCATCATGCAATTGAATTTGTTATGTCATTATTTGACATATTGATTAAGCGATGTGATTGTCTGACCTTTGCTTCCGGGAAACAAAATTGTTATGTGATTGTTTAATTTATGTGACCGTGAAATAGAACTACATGTGATTTTTTTACCTTTGAAGTTAAGTTTGTTATGTGATAGAATGACAAATATGTCCAGGAAGCTAATTTTGTTATGTGCGTAATGATTATTTTGTTATGTGATAGAATAACCAACATGTCCGGGAAGTTAAATTTCTGTGATAAAAAGACGACTATGTCCGTGAAGTTAAATTTGTATGTAATGGAAAGACCGGTGTGTCCGGGAAGTTAAATGTGTTTTGATGACTTAATGAGTAGGTAGTGTCTGGTGGATGTAGGTTTGGACCAAACCTGTTTTTTTCTTCTGTAAATTATATGAAATACATTTATAAACGAAACAAACGAAATGTTTCATGATAAGAAACTTTGATCAATGCTGAAAATTGTTCACTATGATTTCTCTATACTCCAAAGTAATTTTAAATATTTCAACGGATTTTGTAATAACTTTGAAATTCCCATTTTCTTTATCTTTATATATTACAAGACGATTACATATTACTAAAAGTGACCGATCTTGTCATAAAATATGTCGACTAATACATAATTCTATCTCTTTTTGTTTGGTGATACGCGCACATTACCTGCTTATACATGTCTATAATTTACAGTGAATATTTTTCTTACCCGCAAATATAACCGGCATATGATTGGAATAGACTAAATGGTGTAGGGGGGTTTGATGGTGTTGCAAGTCCTTCCTGTAATTTTAAGCTTTGTGCGGTCACACACTCTTGAATAGCTGCACAAGGACCTGAAAAAAAAACTTCAAAGTTGACAAAATGACCGTCTATTTGGTAGGTTGTTGGTAGTTGGATATTCGAATAACCAAATACCTACTAGCTAGTGGTTTGTTAGTCCACCAGGGGATGTGAATCATTTATCCGTACTTTTATTCTGAAAAGAAAAACCTTTCTGTTTCGAGAGGAAGACATGCAAATTTTGAATTACAAACTTCACTCTACTTTGTAACCATGAAAAGGAAACAACTCTGTAGAAGTTACTGTAAATCTAGTGTACAGAAACAGGAATTTCAAAGACAGAAATATATATATATATATATATATTCTAGATCTATCAAGTGTATTTAAGACATTAATACACGTCATATAGATGGGCCAGAAGGCGATAATCGGTCATCGTGAGCATTATTCACTTTGCAGGCCGATTACACCCTTCTTGTGTATTGATCTCTTACTCTTTAATTTTAATGAATCAAATTCTTGGAATCTTACGTAGTATAAAAGTGTTTAGTTGACGATATTTCTCTCGGACATAAATCATTTCCAACATTATATCTTTCATGGCATAACACAATGTAGCTCTATGTTACATGATATAATGCTTTAAATTAATACATGTATATAAATTTTTTAACAGGCTATTTTATAATTTCTTACATATTAAACATATTTAATAATTACTCCACCTTGTATAATTCTGCACATTCCTTCGACACCACCCATTTGTTTCACTGTTTGTAGACTTTGAAGCATGGTTGCATAATTTCCGGTTGTCATCAGGTCCGGACATGTGTCAACGGCCGTTAATAGACATGCAATTTTCTGCTTCCCTTCAGTGCTATAAAATACAAATTGTCTTTTAAAGTAAATATCATTACCTTGTATAAATTCGGAATATCCCTCCCCCTTTTAACATGTAATATACATAATGTTCATACATGATTAAAGAAAATGATTGTTAAAAATTGTCTTAATAACAGAAAAAGCACCGAAACAAGACGCTATCTGTTAAGTACGCGGGGGCGTAGCCACGCTGTCTGACGGGGATAGAATGGTTGATTGGCATTTTTTTCCTTGGGTTTGCTTATTGTGAAGACAAGGAGTGAGATACCAACAAAAAAGTCATATTCAGATTCTCGTACATTGGTTCTTTTCCAGGGCTTTAATATTGTGTCGGTAGGGAACGTGTTTTTGTATTTTCTGATCGCAAGATCAGTAAATACATAGCTAACATCCACGGTCTAACACAAAATTTCCTCACAGACCTAACAACGCAAAGTAGTTCTCACTCAAAACTGCTTAAAAACCAGCAGTTTAAAAGAAAGAATAATTTTAATGTAGGCATTGAACGAATTACAGTGCATTAAAAGTTTAAATTAGTCAATAGAAATATGAGGTTACAATCACAAATTTCGCGGATGAATATCTTTTATACCCAATGAAAAATTTTCGACTATTTCCGTAAAGCTTAATCAATGAAAATGCTATTTTTAGCTATGTCGATTACCGAATACTCCAGAGCGTAGTACACAAATAAATCTGACTGTCGAGTAATGGAATCAAAGTGCTGCAGCACTGAATGCGACGGACATGCAACCGGAGAGACATTAAGGCCTTTTTTAGAAAAAAAAAACAAAAAAAAAAAAAACACAAACGATGTAACAGAGAAAATTTTGTTCCATACAAGTTCGAGATTTGTAGAGCAATATATTTTATGTGTCCCAATCTGATATAATTCAGATTTTCTACTTATACACAATGAAATTTATGCCTAAAAACTCTGGTCAAACTTGTAAATCAGTGTCCTTATCGATTTATTCCAAGGAATGATATGTAAATAGAAAAAAAAACTGTCAACGAAATATTTCTAAAATAAAACCATGCAAATTAACTTCAAACATAATACATTATACATGTGAGAATGTTATTTAGAATTGTTTCGTGTTATATCATAGTAAATATAAGTCATTTGTATTTTTATTTCTATTGGATATGTCTCATTAAAAATATTTTTGGTTAAAACCATCAGCAATTAAAAGTGTATTCTTTAGAATTTTTTATTTACAAGGTGAAGATGTAGAGGCCAGAGCACATCGTTTTTATTTTAATTTAAATGCCACTTAAGCTGTCCTTTTCAATTTCACACTAAATTCCATTTTCAACTTGCTTGCTTCTTACAATTGTAAGTATTGCATGTAAGCAAAATAAGTATCCGCTGGTTTATTACATGTATAATGTGTACTCCCTAATCGCCTGCAGGTGAAGCAGAATCTATTTTTAGAATAGCGAATGTTAACTCATGTCGTGACCTAGAAAAATATGTAAACAAACCACAAGAATCGGAAGTAGAACTGATATTATAACTTCCTTCAATAAAGATTACCACGAAAGACTACATGGTAGAAAAGTGTTGAAAAAACTCTTGTTACATGCATTTTCAAAAATAGATATTTATACTAACCCTTATATTGTATATAATTTATTAATAACTGCTGAATATTCAGCTAAACCTGCGGTATGAGTCACGAAAATAGTTCTTCTTTTATTAATGCGCGGGTTATTCTAGAGTCACCAATTACTTTTGATTTTTAATAATAATGTTTTGTATAATGTAGAAATATTCATTTTCTACTAATAATTTCTTGGAACTCAGAGCTTACACCTTTATTATAGTATAATTTGCTGTCCTATTTTTTCGACAGCTGTAAATCGTTTCGGCAGTAATTTGCATATTGCGCAATAATACTACGGGACTACAACGTTTTTATCAATCAAATACGTTCGTATTTTAACTTGGATAACTTAATTTGAAATTGAAAAGGCTAAATATGGAAGATTTTAAGATATCCCGACAAAGTATGTGAGTTTTAAAGGATCAAATTCATGTACTATTTCATGGGCTGTTATTCGGTTGAGGACACTTTGCGCGATTGTAGCAGACGAAATCCCATGTGTAGATGACTTAGCTCTGAACGCGCCTGACGGCGCGTCCGTCGCAATATATACATGTCGGACTGTTTTGGCGAGAAGATTTTCGCTAAATTATTTTATCAGTGTTTAACAACAGGTTTATCGTGAACAAAATACCTCGAATTTAATAAGGATTATAAATACGAAATGAAAACTCTCAATTTTAGAATTACAATATATTTGTTTTTATTCACGCTACATATGTATTACTTCACTGTAGTGCAAAGGTGCGCGCTTGTTTAGGGTGTGAGAGGCCTAAGGTTAAAATCCTTTTCGAGGCAAGATTTTTTTGAAGCGTCTTTTTTAAGGAAGTTGCCACGATATGCAAGGATAAAGTGTGACTGTAATAAAAAAATGAAAAATGATTTTTGATGCAACACTAAGCATGCAAAATTACATATGTATCAATCACAAACTGTTAAACGCAGTCGCTGCGTAAGAAAAATAATAGTATATAAAAATAAACTTATACAGGAAAGATCAGAAAATACCACAGAGCATGCAGACCTTTGATTTATTTTGCCTATGATTCAAAAGAAAAAGAGCATCAAAACACTCGTACAATTTAATTCGTCAGATACCTTCGCGTTTCCATCTTGTATATCAAGTAACGCAGGAATGCGCAAATAACACATTGATATCTTTAAATGCAATAACAGAACATATCTTTATTCAGACTTGTAATTAGTACATTATCTTCAACACATATTTAACAACTAAATATTCTGCTCATGATTAAAGCATTACGAAGCATTTTCATATAAACTGATCTATATAGAACAGACAGGAGAGTAAAAGTATATTACAATACATCTTAGTATAATAGTTGAAAAACATAGTGTAACGGACTCCATAAAATACAACAACATTATTGTGCTACCTTATTTATTTCATTTCTATGTTTTAAAGCTTCTTTTAGGAACATTGCTAAATTACATAATTCTTTCTTATCCTTGCTATTTAACAATTCATAAAACTTGAATACAGATGGTCTTTTATAGATATTATCATTGACATACTTTACCCTAATATTTTGATAACAAGGTCATATACAAACAAAGTTGTAAATATCTTCTATGTCATGTAAGTTACAGTTTTGACAAAATGGTTCATGTCTAGGTATTCTATTTTCCCCGAATCTTCCGGTATGAATGCGAAGAGAGTGAGTAGAAATACGTAACCTGGTGATGAAAACCTTAAATTATAGGGTACTATGTCTAAATATTTTTCATATGTAAAATATGTTTTTAAAATGTGTGTATTCATCCAGGATACTATTTCTGCTAACTGCTCCAAACCATTCTTGTCTAAAACAATCAATCATTCTAGTTTTAAATACAACTTGGAAATGTTTTAAAGATAAACAATTATAACTATTTACAAATATATCAGAAAATCCATAATCATCTAGAATCGTTTTTACTCGACATGTCCAATTCATATAAACTATCTTGCACTGCTAAATTGTACAATTTGTTTAGAATAAAATTTACAGACTTAACAATTTTACACCAAAATTTGATAATCTTACAATAGCGAAAAATATAAAAAATAACGTTCATATTACTTTATGATTTTTTTTATATTAGGTATATCTGAGACTTTTCCAATCTATTCGTGTCATATTACACCTAATATAGCAGATAAAACATAATTGATACCATTTTACGATGTAACGCCGAATTCGTGAATGAAGCACTGAAGCAACGGCGGTTATCTCATTAAAAGTAGCTAAATCTTAATTTACTAGCTTCCTTTTATTGTTACACGGCACTTGTAGTTTGAAAGATGTCTTAGGTATACAGAATATGAAAAAAGAAAGATTTAAATGTGTTAAATGTACATATTTGTTTGACAAAACACAAAAGTGAAAAAAAAAATGTAATGCTTGTTGAAGTATAATGTCCTAGCAGCCATATGCGCTAATTCATTTCAGTTAATTTAATTTAAATGAAATATTTTGGTTCGTTTACTTACTGTGTTATTCGTTTTGACAATAGCGTTGCACATATCCGGCGTTTTTTACGTTATTTGCACACTCCTGCACACTCCTGCGTTACTGGATATGCGCGGTGGTTTCGATGCTCTTTCTATTACATACCGTTCATATAAGATATAACGATAAATGTTAATTTGTTACCTGCACATTAAGTTCATCATGGCGTTCGGGTCATTAGGGTCCATCTTTTCAACTGCATTAGTGATAAACATGCTATATCCCATCACACAAGTTTGAAACTGTGCGTCACTTTGGAGATCTTGTGCACATCCAGCGTCTGTTTTCTTTGAAAGGCCAAGGACTGAAATAAATGGAAAAAATATACAATAAAAAAGTGTATTATTTTAACGGCATATTCTTAAATCTGAAGTCTGATGACCTCAGCCGTGTACATAGCAGCCGTTTACATAGCAGCAATGTATAAAAAAATGTGTACATAGCAGCCGTGTGTAAAGTAGCCGTGTACATAGGAGCTGTGTACATAGCAGCCGTGTGTAAAGTAACCGTGTGTATAGTAACCGTAAAGTAGCCTTGTATATAGTAGCCGTGCCCACAAAAGTCGTGTACAAAGCAGTCGTGTATAAAGCAGTCTGTGTATATAGTAGTTGTATTGTAGCCGTGTATATAAAGATAGTATATGTAGAAGTAACATTTGTATAATGTCAATATTTTGTGCCATATTACTATTGCAATAAATCAAAATCATATAGCTTAGATTAGTAAAATTTAATGTACTACAAAGACCAGTGTATGGAAGAGAATTTAAAGTATACTATGTAATAGATACTGACAATGTCTCTCCCGAGATTGCCAGTGTAATACATACACAAAATATTTCTTAATATTATATATTTGAATGTAGAATCTCTCAAAAGGTAAATAACTTGTAAATTAAATATATAATCAATGGTAACCATTAATAATGAAAGAAAAGAAATACTTGCAGTCACGTCATATTGCTATGTAATTAGTATTTACTTATGCATACATGTAATTGTATATATCATGAATGCTTGTACATGACTCTTTTATGAGGGTTAATTTGCAAACTAAAGATTCTTCTTCTTCTATAAAAGTCGTTTGTTGTATGTAGCAGCCGATTACAAAGGAGCCGAGCATAGAGTTGCTGTGTACAAAGGAGATGTGCAGAAATTAATCGTGTACACATATACATGGCATAATTTCAAGGTTATCTAGCTTTGATACAGTGTGAAACTGCTGTTTTATGAAAGCATCTACGACGTTCCATAATTCAGCCTTTTGGCAGCGAGCACTGTGTTGCTCTTATCATCTTACAATAATACGATAAAATTCTCCCAGAAATACATGCATGATTGTGTAGAATACTAGGGGTGCCCGCTAAATGAACTTTGCATCTCTAAATCTATCATTATTATATGGAACCATTGGCTCATCCGACCGATATTGATTATCATTTGTTGATTAGCTGAGTATAACAATATTTCCAGTAAGTTAATATTGTAAAGATTAGTTCCTGTTTTCCTTATATAATAAAACGATACTTCAAAAACAAACACTTTTTATGATTAATGTTTTTTTAATTTAATAAATAATGTGAAAGTCGTGTCTTGGCTATTTTAAATTAGTTTTGGTTCTTGTGTTTATATAAATTGTTAGTTGAAATGTTTGTTGATCTGTGAAAGAAGCTTTCCAAGATATAAATGCTGTCACGATTGCTAATTTACGGGTTATTAAGATTAAATCATTATTTTGTCGTTGGGCCACTCATTATTGTTTCAACCAGCCTGTGAAGATTGACGTCTTACCTCAAAACTGCGTGAAATATGTGACGTCTAAGGAGGGCAAAAAATTTCAAACACGTTTCTTTAAAGTATTTTAAATTATTTGTAAATAAATATTTTAAAACGTTTGTTATAATATGAAAAAAGCACTACATCCACAAATTTATTTTCCCGTTTGTTCTATGTCGATTTAACTTATATAATGGTTTGTCTATCTGAGAGCAAATGTGTACGGAACGGATAAAATATGCCAGTTTGAGGGCTAGTGTGTTTGAAACGAATATAATATGCCAGTTTGAGGGCTAGTGTGTACGGAACGGATAAAATATGCCAGTTTGAGGGCTAGTGTGTACGGAACGACGTGTAAAATATGCCAGTTTGAGGGCTAGTGTGTATGGAACGTGTAAAATATGTCATTTTGAGGGCTAGGGTGTACGGAACGGATAAAATATGCCAGTTTGAAGCCCAGTGTGTACGGAACGTGTAAAATATGCAAGCTTGAGGGCTAGTGTGTACGGAACGTGTAAAATATGTCAGTTTGACGGAACGGATAAAATATGCCAGTTTGAGGGCCAGTGTGTTTGAAACGAATGAAATATGCCAGTTTCAGGGCCAGTGTGTACAGAACGGGTACAATCTGTCAATCCGATTGCTTATGTGAACTGAACAAGTAAAATAGCGAGTGTGAACTGATCAGTTTTGATAGCTACCTTGTGTGTACAGAACGGGTAAAATCTATCTGTCTGATAGATAGTTTTAGATGAACGGGTAAAATCTAATGTGTTAAGATTCATTTGAAATACTGAAATCCTATTGGACAGAAAAATTATTTCAAACACTAAATTTTCTTAATAGCTGAAATCATAGTTTGTCCAATGAGATCATTATGTCTTACTAGATTATGAAAGCAATATAATTTAAATGTTGATAAATTTAATAAAAAATATTTCTATATATTTCATAAGATGTAGCTTTATACCCTTAAACGTTTGCAAAATATGAAATGTTTGGTGAAAAGTGTCAGATATTAACCATTACGAAAACAATCCGTATTAAACTAGAACTATCGCTGAATGCGATTCATACCCCCACCAATGTCCTTGACAGAAGACCACTTGGAAAGGTGGTTAAGGGAATAAATACATAAATACATAAAAAGAAATTATCTCTGGTGAAAAAAAGACTAATTGTACAGGTAAAAGTATAAATATATATTATCAAATCATGTTCGAAACAGTTACAAATAACCTTTCATTTTTCCAATGCATTAAACATTTTATTTATAAGTCAATTTTTGACCTTCAAGTGTGGCCTTGACCTTAATCTGGCACAAGGGTAAGATGGGTTTTGCACATCGCCCAGTTTGGGTGAACATTTGAGTAAAGTTTGAAGAAAATCCTTCCATTAGTATAGAATTAATAGAGTAGACGCAATATATTGTCTAGTATTGGTTGTATGTAAATTTGAAGACTTAAAAAGGGGCATAACTTTGTCAAAATGCAATGCAGAGTAATGAAACTTGACCTGCATATCTTATTTGCCACACCTCATATATCTTTTAAGTTTCAAGCATATGCCTGAGCTAGTTTCAGAATTATTCAAGTACATGTTAAATTTTAAGAACATTTTCTAAGTCAATTTTTGACCTTCAAGTGTGACCTTGACCTTTAGCCGGCACAAAGGTGACATGGATTCTGCACATAACCTTGTTGAGGTGAACATTTGAGTAAAGTTTGAAGGAAATTCTTCCATTAGTATAGGATTTATAGAGCGGACACAACATATTGTCTAATATTTGATTGTATGTAAATTTGAAGACTTAAAAAGGGGCATGACTTTGTTAAAATGCAATACAGAGTTATGAAACTTGAACAGCATATCGTATTTGTGACCTTTCAAAAATATTTTAAGTTTCATGCAAATAACTTTTCTAGATTTAGAAATATTCAAATAAATGTTAAAATTTAAGAATATTTTCTAAGTCAATTTTTGACCTTCAAGTGTGACCTTGACCTTAAGCCAGCAAAAGACTGACATAAGTTCTGCACATCCCCTGGTTGAGATGAACATTTGAGCCAAGATTGAAGAAAATCTTTCAAGTAGTGTAGGACTTACAGAGCGGACATGACATACTGTGTAATATTTGATAGTGTTTGATATTTGACCTTCAATTGAGACTTTGACCTTGAGCTTACACATGGGCAACATGGGTTCTGCACACCCCCTTGTTGAGGGGAATATTTGAGCCAAGTTTGAAGAAAATCTTTCAATTAGTGTAGGACTTACTGAGCGGACACAACATACTGTGTAATATTTGATTGTTTGATATTTGACCTTCAATTATGACCTTGACCTTGAGCTGGCACATAGACAACACGAGTTCTGCACATCCCCTGGTTGAGGTGAACATTTGAGCCAAGTTTAAAGAAACTCTTTCAAGTAGTGTAGGAGTTATAGAGCGGACATGACATACTGTGTAATATTTAATTGTTTGATATACAACCTTCAATTGTGACCTTGCCCTTGAGCTGACACATGGGCGACATGGGTTCTGCACATCCCCTGGTTGAGGTGAACATTTGAGCCAAGTATGAAGAAAATCTTTCAAGTAGTGTAGGACTTACAGAGCGGACACAACATACTGTGTTATATTTAATTGTTTGATATTTGACCTTCAATTGTGACCTTGACCTTGAGCTGACACATGGGTGTCATGGGTTCTGCACATCCCCTAGTTGAGGTGAACATTTGAGCCAAGTTTGAAGAAAATCTTTCAAGTAGTGTAGGACTTACAGAGCGGACACGACATACTGTGTAATATTTGATAGTGTTTGATATATGACCTTCAATTGTGACCTTGACCTTGAGCTGACACATGGGCAATATAGGTTCTGCACATCCCCTTGTTGAGGTGAACATTTGAGCCAAGTTTGAAGAAAATCCTTCAATTGGTATAGGAGTTATAGAGCGGACACGAAAATGGAGACGGACCGACGGACCGACCGACGGACGGACCGATGCAGCGAATCCATTATAGCGCCCCCCCCCACATTTTGTGGTGGGGGTATAATAATTCTCAAAAACCAAGACATAGATGACGCGCGAATCAGATTAAAGTTATGTTTGCGTCGCAATAAAGGTACTAATAAACAAATGTACATTGATACATTTGTCTGTTAAAATATTGCTATTTATTTAAAGGCTGTGCCGCAACAAACAGATTTAATTTCATTAATCCTGACTACCAAAAACTAACAGTCGAAAATCAACTTATGATACTTGGCCTTAACAAGATGGTCCACACTTGGTACAAAGAACTAAATGATGTCTATTTTTAGAACCACACGAATACTTTAATATACTTTATACGTTCTACTTAATAGTGGTACTTAAAAAACACTGTAAGTTTTTATACTTACAAAATAATTAGAAAATAATTCTACATACATCAGAAAATACATGTACGTGTATTTTGCACTCATCTAAAGTGCTTTTAAGGAAATCTCTGAGGAGAGCACTTCAACAACATAAACTTTTC